TATTTTTTAGTAGAGACGGGGTCTCCCTCTTGCTCAGGCTGGTCTCGAACTCCTGACCTTGAGTGATCCACCCGCCTCAGCCTCCCAGAGTGCTAGGATTACAGGCGTGAGCCACCGCGCCCGGCCTCAGTTGCTGTCTTGACATCAGTTTTTTTCTTTGTCTACTTTAGATACAGTGTGACTGGCTTATTTTAAGTTTTCATTAAAGAGTGAGAGAAACGTGGCTTACTGATCAGGAAAACTCAAGCACTCCCTCGTGGGCCTGCCTCATTATGTTTCTAAAAATATAATAGTCTGAATATGGAGATAAGGAGATGAAAGTGGAGAGAAAGAATGGAAGGAACTTCAGGGAGTTTTAGAGGAACAGTAGAGTTTGGCATCGAAGGCTGAGACAGCATCTCCTCTGGTCAGTGAGTGAGAGAGTGACTGTTTGACAGTGATCTCTTTTTTCCACTTGCAGGCTTTGCTAAACGTAATCCTCTAATCTGATCTTTCCAGATCTTTCAATTAGACTCTATTTCTTTTCTTGTTTTAATGTGATGATAAGTGGAAATTGCTTATTAAACACCAGAACATATACTTCATTAGTGCATTATATACTTGGTTTAATTTCCAATTGCCTATGATAACAGAGGAATTCTAATTGCTCATTCTGTTTAGCATCCTTCTGTTTTCTTCCTCCCCATTGCTGTTTTTAATTCCCCCATTCTCCACATGTTCTTCGTCTACATTTTCTGTTACCAGACTTTATATTTAACCTATTTTAAAAAACATGAGAAGGATTTGACTGGCAGAAGTGGTAAATTGTGGTAAGAGATTTATTTTAGACAACTGGTAACCAAGACTGTGCATGTGTTGGCAGCGATAGGTCAAACAGCCATTTGGCCTGCCACTATGACATATTGATCCTTTAGACAATTATAAGGTCAATTAAGTCTATTGTGCATAGGAAATAAAATATCTTCCCTACATGTGAAGCACATAAAGGAGATTATTATTTCACTCTTTATGTCTTTTAGTTTTCACTAAATCTCATGCTTGAAGATGTAGTTAGTAAACAAAAGTTAAGGAGAAAAAACGTCATACCTTTTGCCATCCAGTAGGTGGGCTAGATAAGTCTTCCTGATTTATCTTAAGAACAGTAAAATATTATATCCGTAATCATATTCACCAAGTGAGTCTTTCATTTTTCATTTTTGAATCTTTGTTCTGATCACCAAATTATAGCTTTAAGATGATTCTATTTGTGGCATTATTATCCTTTACATATTAATGGATGCTGTCTTAAGTGTATCATTTTTTAAATCATATTTGCTAGACATTTATCTTCTAGGTAAGATTATATGCTGGGATAATTGAAGACTACCGAGATAACGTGGGCACTAAAATCAGTAGCTAAATTGTAGCCATTATGTTTCTTCTCTTGCTAACAAAAGCATATCACACAACTCTTAGTTTCTCAAGATTTTAGCAAGGGACTTTAGTAAGAATTAACTATGGGTTGACATTTTTGAGAATCTTTTTGACATATTTAATTGCTGAAGCTGCTGTCTCCTATCATGTCTCATTTATACTTATTCATATTCAGCCTCGCCTTGCTAATTTTTAGCAACAACTGGAAGCCTCACTGCAAAACATGGTTTTAACTCACTTGTATAGGGCCATAGTGTATAGTATCTTATGTGTGCTTTTGAATATTTTTGCATTTTTTTTTTGTTGTTGTTGTTGTTGTTTTTTGAGACAGAGTCTCACTCTGTCGCCCTGGCTACCGTGCACTGGCATCATCATAGCTTACCGTGCAACCGCAAATTCCTGGTCTCAAGCAATTCTCCTGCTTCAGCCTCCCAAGTAACTGGGACTACAGGCACATGCCACCACACCCAGCTAATTTTTCTATTTTTTGTAGTTACAGGGTCTCACTCTTGGTCAGGCTGGTCTCGAACTCCTGGCCTTAAGCAGTCCTCCTACTTTAGCCTCCCATAGTGTTAGCATTACAGGCGTGAGCCACTGTGCCGTTTTTGAAGTTTTTAAATGATTTTATATGTTCATTGGTTATAGATTTGTTAGTTATAGTAGAAATAATCTGTAATTTTGATAAAGAGTGTTGACTTTTCTTCTGGCAACTAAGTGGATTCCCAGATCTGTGAGTCAGGATACAAGTGTACTTTCTTGTGTAAGGTAGCAATTTTTCATTTATCAGACTGTTTGAAAGAAGGATACATTTGAAATACCATATTTTGTTGAATATTTAATGCCATTGATTATAAGATGCATTATTATTTTTTGTGTTACTGGGAAAGAAAATGCTGCCTGTTAAACTGAGAGGCCATTGATTATAAAATGCATCCCAATTTCAGAGATGTTAATGTGAAAAACTCTGTAACTTACACTTGATGGATTATGGTGTTAATAACATAACCAACCCTTAAATTTGCATAAGGCTTTGTAGAAAGCACTTATACATATGTCATCTGATTTTATCCTCAAAACTAAAACTAACCTATGAGGTAGATTAAATTATCCCCAGTTTTCAGATGAGGAAACTGAACTTCACAGAGATTATATGTTCTCTCAGCTTTGTATGGTAGTGAGCTAGGGTCTCAAGCCTGTGTATTCTTACTCTGAGACTTGTGGTATGATTGACCATGTCACCTCCCCTACCCCCATATATACACAACTGCAAACCTCTATAAAATTATTTGGTCTAGATTTTTCTCTGTTGCCTAATATACATATTTCATATTTATACTTCATTATTTTTCATATGCTGTTCATATGTCTTGATTTTATTGATAGTTTTGAGTACTATTAAAATGGTTAATGTATGTTTTAATGTTAAATCATGTGTGACTCTGCTAATATATGGTTTGTTTTAATTCTGGGTTGCCTGACTACTAGGAAGCTATATCTGCTGTCATTGGTGGTTTAATATATGTTTTGAAAGCAATTTATCTGTTTCTATCTGACTAGGTAAGATGTTCAGGAATGCTTATGGGTTGAGATCTGTGAAGTGATGCAGGGAAGGTTGACTAAGTGTTTGTCTATAGTTGTATTGTTCTTGGTGAATCAAGGTCATATCTGCTTCTTTCCCAGGTGGTGGCTAATGCTGTAGCAGCATTATCTGAAATCAGTGAGTCTCACCCAAACAGCAACTTACTTGATCTGAACCCACAGAACATTAATAAGCTGCTGACAGCCTTGAACGAGTGCACTGAATGGGGCCAGATTTTCATCCTGGACTGCCTTTCTAATTACAACCCTAAAGATGACCGGGAGGCCCAGAGGTCAGTCTCCTCTCCTCGAAAGTATCTGGTAGTCTTGCCTGATTATTCAATAAGTTCTAGAATCTGCTGTTAGAATAAATCTCTTATGCTGAAGTAGGTCAGTGGCTTGTGGGGTAGATATTGCTATCCCCAAGGTATTTTCCTCACTGAATTTAGGAACATTTAGGTGGTGGAGTAAACCATGTAAAAAATAGCTCAAGAAATACATGTTTTTCATTTCTTATTTGAATAGTACAGTTACCTCTGCTAAAATCTTTCTCATCATTTTCTCACATCTCGCATACAGCAGTTCCTGGCTATTTGGCAAACAAAGGATATTGAATGTCTCTTTGTAGTGACAAACTTTTCATGCTGTTAAATACTTAGTAAGTGGCTTCATATTAGTCATTGAGCTGAACTATACCTATAATTGAGTACTAGAGAAAGTATGGTAAAGTCAGCAAAATATATGTTGCTTCCCATTAGATAAAGAAATCATGTCAGTCTGAGTTTGGAGAAGATTTTGGAAGGCATGCCTAGATTGTTTTCCTCAGCCCTTTACCACCTTAGTGTTGCAAATTTTCTTTGACTATCAGAAATTGACTACTACATTTCATCTACATATGCACACATTTTAGTTTACGAAGTTGAAATTATCCCTAATTTTTATTGAGCATTTTGTGTATATAGGCACTGTACTAGGCAAAGTACTTCTGAAGAAATGTTGGCTCTTCATTAAATTTGGAATATTTTAATTATGGTAGATAAGAACCTTCCTTGCCTGGCTGAAGCTGATTTCCAAGCTACTAGAATGTAAGTGTTCTTCACTTGTCTGGGAAATTGTTCCCTCTAGACTGAACTAAAGCTCACCCTGGTAATTTCTTTCCATCATTGAAAGTACAAATATATTCTGGAAAGAACTTTACCGAGAATTTTATTTTTCAATTGGTCATTGACATCAAACTAATTCACTCATTCACTCAGCAAATATTTATTAAGCGCATGCTGTGTGCCAGGCACTGTTCTAGGCCCTGGAGATACAGCAATGGACAGACAAAAGTCATGGCCCTCATGGTGCACTTACTCTGAGGGATGTGGGTAGGAGTATATATGATATATAATTTGTTCGATGGTGATAAGTGCTAACAAAAAAGATAAAGTAGGGGAGAGATCTAAGAAATGCTGGGCGTTTGGGGGTGAGGGGTTGTATTTTTTTAAAAAGGTGGCTAGGAGCCCAAACAACATAGTGAGACCCCCATCTCTGTAGAGAAAAAAAAAAAAATTAGCCAAGCATGGTGGCATGTGCCTATAGTCCCAGCTACTTGGGAGATTAAGACAGAAGGATCACTTGAGCCTGGAAGTGTGAGGTTATAGTGAGCTATGATCATGGTACTGCACTCCAGCCTAGGTGACAGAGTGAGACCCTGTCTCTAAAAAAAATAAAAATAAGAAATATATAAAATACAAAAAGGTGGCCAGGGAAGCCCTTACTGAGAAGGTAGTATTTGTATAAAGACCTGAAGGAGGCCAGGAGTCAGCTTAAGTGGATGTAAGAGAAAGAAAGAGAAACATAGCCTACTTATCTTGTATCCTTAACTTAATATAGTAAACTAACTATATGTGTTGCCCAACAATACTCAAAATTAGGTTGATTTCTAAAGAATGATCAACAGATAATTATCCAAGATTTCATGAGGCATATAAGTATAGGTGGCAGGGGATAGGAGAAGAGGAAGAAGTTGGGAGAATATTGCAATGGTGTTCTGCTATTGTAAGAAACAAACCAACCGAACCCTTTCAGAGATTCACTTACTATCCTGAAGGCAGGGGGTTTGGATTATTTACCCTGCTAACCCACCTCCTCCTGTATCTTCCAATGAAACCTTTAGTCACAGCTGAGTTGATATCTGTCAGTATGAAATAATTCTCAGAATGCTTAATTTGACTGCCTGTAGGTTGAGTAGAAATGGGCTGTGAGGCAGGGAGACCTAACATAATATGGGGAGAGAAAGAGGACTATAAAACAAGAAGGTAAATGGTGTGAGCTCAAGTGTTTGGGGGTATTACTAGTTTTCTTCCAGTTTGAACATCCCTTATTGCTGGTTTCCTAAAGTCTTCTGATGTCCCTTGCTCTGTCTGTAGTTTGCTGGGAATGAGGCTTCTGCAGTGGTGGATCCCAATTTTACCTAAGCATGGAG